AAAAAAAAAAAAAAAAAAATTAATAACCTTTAAATAAAATTTTACAGACATGTTTATTTAGAGACACTGTCTCATTTTGTTGCACTTGGTATAATGCCGTGGTGGCATCACAGCTTACAGCAACCTCGACCTCTTGAGGTAAAGTGATCCTCCTGCCTTAGCCTCCCAAGGAGCTGGGTGCCTACCACAACTGCCTGGTTATTTTTTAGCTCTTGCTGAGACTGGTCTCCAACTCCTGAGCTCAGGTGATCCCCTCCTCCTTAGCCTCCCAAAGTGCTAAGATTACAGGCATGAGCCACTACCCTCCTTAGCCTTGGACATGTTTATTTTTTAAAAGCAGAGTTTCAAGAGAATTGGATACTTGAATACAACAAACTACTGAATGGAAAAAAAAAACAAAACAAGCAACCCAAAGCTCTTTGCTAAGTTGGCACCAATAATTCAAAGAATCCAAGCTGATCAAAGTTTGATCTACATGCAACAAATAAGAAACTTCTTAAAAGGACCAAAGACTTGTAACAAAAATAACAAGTCTCTTCATCTTTTGGCATGAAATTAACATAATAGGTTGGACAGGTGAATTAAACACAAAACTTTCAAACCTAGAAAGCAAAATGGGAACTTTCATTGGCTGCTTGCTTCTACCATGTCTAAATAGTAATTGTATATAATGATTATCTAACAGGTGCTCAGTTTTAAAACCAATATAATCAATTTATTATGAAAAGCCTACACCTACCAAGTTGTTTTTCTTCTGTTCTGTCCCTGTGTCACATGCTCGAATTTGATGAAAACTATCCTTTCTACATGTCGAGAGCAGAGCAAAAAATGGGAGTAATAAAATGAGCCTGAGAAGTCTCACAGCCTTAAGGCCTTTTTCCTCACTGGTCCAGGACACTTACATTTTAGAAGGTTAAAGACTGTTTTGGCTATCAGGGTCCCTGTCAAGGCCATCAGATGGACAGCTATTTAGCAGGCAATCAGCCTACTGTTCTTAGACAATGTAAAAACAAACAAAAATAAAAAACCCCTAAACTTCCCTATTGAAACCCTTCATTCTGTTTTTGTTGATGCTTAAGGAAAACAACTTTGCCCATAACTCACTGTGGCCTGGACTTAAGACGCCAACTTATAGTTGGCCGATTAAGAACGAGGCCAAACTGCATTCTTCTTAGGTATTCAGTTGATAAATGGCACTTAATTGATATTTTCATATAACCTTTAACAAGAACTCGTAAGTTGCATTGATTATGCCCCAAGAGATGAGGGATCGGTGGTAATTCAGATGGGCACCTCTGAAAAGATTTGTCAGTTTCCTGTCCCGCTCTAGCCAGATCTTTTTGAAAACCTTGGGGAAAGACTGAAATTCCCCACCAATCTGAGATTGCATGCGCATTTTTACAACATTAATTGGAAAAAACAAAAATCCCAACATGGCACCCAGAAGACCTCCACAGATAAAATCGTTGACCAAATGAGCACTGTGAGTTGTTGCAGTAGGCAGATGCTCCTTAATGGGACCCCGAAGGCCAAAAAAGAAGACATTGCTGAGTCCATTGCGGAAAAGAATGGGCACCAAGCCTCGATAATACTCTCCAATTCCATGGCATTTCAGTGCCTTGAAAGCCTGGTAAGTGTTTGTAAATTTGTCATGATGCTTGTGGTCTTGAAGCAATGTCTGAACTCTTTCCAGTGGAGTGAATATTGCCTCTGTAGTTCCTGCCAGTACTGCTGCCACACTGCGGGTTGCAAACTCTGGAGCACTGGCATGCTTGAGGAGAAGGCAGGATAAGTCTTCATAGAGACCAAACATAAGTGCCAGAGTAGTTGTTTTCTGCATTAACGGGGGAAGGATTCCTCGATACAAATTTCGAAATCCATCCCTCCTCAACTGAAGTATTGCATCCCGGGTTTTGATGCCATATAATTGTTGCCTAAAAAGAACCTTCTGAATAGGAAATGTGATTGCAACATTGTTGAAAGCTGCACAGGAGCCACACAAGTAATGCTTCATTTCACTAACATTTGTAAGGTGAGGTGATACATCTTGTTTTGAAGATGTTAGGATTGGTGGCCTCTTTTCATGAGCTTCAGAATCCATCATGTTGCTTAAGATCTTTCTTCTTCATGAAGAATTTATTTTAACCTACAAATAATAAATGACAATGGATGAATTTTTTTATAGCAAGCTAAATACATGGAATTTTCCCCAATTTGTACTCTAAATTCTGGACACTACTACTGTTTCCTTTTTAGATTAGTGATTCTTACAGCATTTTCAGGGGACCCTGACAGGACGGTCCTCAGATCCTTTTGGAAGGCCAGGAGGTCCTCCCTTTTCTGACTACATATCCATGTAAGGCTGGATTCTTTGCATATACCTTAACCAAAATAACTTATCATAACAGACTGAATGCACAAGGGGATATGAGACTTTACCTCTTTTATGTCAGACATAAAACAATCTGTGTAACAGTCTTCTCATTAAAAAAAATTTATGGGGGAAACAGTTATAAAATTTGTCATATTAACATTAATGGGTTTATCATTACCTTAAAATTCCCAAGACCTTGACTATCGATCCACATAAACAAAGGCTCTTTGGGGCCCACAATAATTTAAGAGTATAAATGAATCCTAAGACCAAAAAATTTTGACAGGCACTAGATTAGTTCATAAGCACTGGCTATTCCACATAATGGTATATATTCACCATGCTACTGAAGTAGACTCAAAGTCCTTCCCATGAGAAATAAAATAGTAAGACATACACTCATTCTATTAATACTTACTTGGTCCCTATTACGAACTAGGTCCTCTGTTAAGTGCCAGAGATTCAAAGACAAGGAACTCACAAACTATTAGGAGAATTTGCCAAGGTAAACAAATACACCACAGTATGATACCTCTATGATAAATATGTGCTGTGAGAACACTGGTAAGACACACTGAACACAGGCTTTGGGAGGTGGTGCTGTGGGACAACAGGGTCAAAGAAGGCCTACTATGCACTACATTTTCATTTAATTCTCAAAACAACTTCATAAAGTTACTATTTTTCCCAGTTTTACAAATGAATAAAACCAATATTCTCCTTTGTCTAAGGTACATCTAGTAACTGGTAGGAACAGTATTTTGAAATGAAGTCTGACTTCAGGGTTCACATCTCTGCTAACATACCACAGATGGCAATGACTTTGGGAGGCTGCCCTGGGATAAGGGGGACTTTATCAGATTGTGCTGAAAAATATTTGAAGTCTAAATACATAGGCTTAGCTCACTGTGTGGAACTAAGACAAAGTCCTATCCCTATAACATGTCTGTTTCCATAAAATGCAAGATTTTTCCTGCCAGGTATCTAAATCTGGCCCCCCATGCCCCCCTCCCAAATTCCAGATCCAAATAGTTGAATCATCCAAAATAATTCCTATATTCGAGGAACAGTCCCAGAAATCACCTTTATTTGGGGACAACATGATAATTTTATATTTTAGATATATCAGGCTAAACATTTTTACATTGATTTAATTCCTCACGACATTTAACTACAACTCAACAAAACAACAAATAATCCAATTTAAAAGATGACATACAAATTGCAAAGAAGCCCAACATCACTAATCATTAGAGAAATACAAATCAAAACCACAGTGAGATACCACCTCACACCCTTTAGGATGGCTACTATCACCCCCCCTCCCCCCCAAAAGACAAGCGTTGATGAGTATGTGGAGAAGTTGGAACCCTTATGTACTGTTGGTAGGTTTGTAAAATGGTACAATTGTTATGGAAAACAGTATGGTGGTTCCTTGAAAACTTAAGAATAGACTGGGCATGGTGGCTCACACCTGTAATCCCAGCATGCTGGGAGGCTGAGGCAAGTGGACTGTCATGAGGTTACAGGTTCAAGATCAACCTGAGCAAGTGTAAGACCCCATCTCTTTTTTTTTTTTTTT